GAGGGGGTGTGTGTGTGTATTTTACATGATGGATCACATTGCCAAATTCTTAATATGGGATTCATAATCAGGTTTGTAGTTTGGTTACATGACTTTTGTTAGGTTTTTAAAAAATGGTAAACTAGTTTTGTAAAAGGAATTGAGAAAACTTCCCTCCTCTGTGTATGGCATAGTTCAGATAGCTTTGGGAAAAATCTGGAGCTTTTTGAATGGGTAACAGGTAACTTTCCCTCCCCACCCCCAAAATCATGATTGGGTTTTCAATCTCTCGTTGAGTTAATGCTGGTAACTTACATTTCCCCTCAATGTGCTAGCATAGAATTACAGACTATTGTCTTACAAGATTTTAATTTTTTCTGTATCCATTTTTTTTCTTTCTCATTTCACATTGTGTATATTTGTGTCTCTCCCCACCTTTTAGGTTATTATCTAGTAGTGTATAACAATTTCACCAGATGCCTGAAATAAGCCAGGTTCAGATTTTATTTATTTAGGTATAGATTAGCTATCTCCCTGACTTTGCTCCAGAGAATGATCATGGAATTGATGCTGCCATTACTCAGTCGAGCTGATATTCATTGGAGCATGCCCATTGTTGGTCATGTAAGAAGCAGGTGTACTACACACCAGCCCCCTGCATTGTCCAGCCTGTTATTTCTTTTAAATTATTAAAGGAGTGATTGTTATAGGTATAAAACATACTGCTAACTATATTAGCAAAAGATCCATGTATAAATAATCCATAATTTTGCAATATTCTCTAAAAACTTTTATTTTATTGATTTGAGAGAAAGCGATTGACTTGTTTTACTTATTCGCTTGTATGTGCCCTTGATGTATGGGGACAATGCCCTAACCAACTGAGCTACTGGGCCGGGGCTCTGCAGTTTTCAATTTAAAAATTTTATAGCTGTTGAAAAGCCTGCTATTATATTCTTGCCAGTGTTCAAGATGTACAGAGAACATTGTTAATGTCAGCATGGAGTTTACCGAACCATACAGATCCAAAGTAATGTATTTAGGAAAAACAGTAATAGGAAGTGTGTGTTGTTTATGTAGGTGAAGGAAAGGGTAGGATCAGTATCAGTCACGTTACTGTGTTTGTGATCTGGCAAGGCAGTAATTTAAAGAAGTTTCATAGTTTAAGAATATTAAAAAAATTAAAAACCATAAATGCTGCAATACATGATTTTTACAACTAGTTACTAGAAGAAAACTAGGGAAAATACTAGCTTGAATAAAGTAACATGAAAGCGAGAATGCTTTAATCTAAAAACACCCCATAATTCTAATGCATTATCAGAAAGATTTCCTAATAGGAGACAGATTGCTCATTAAGGCGTTCAATAAGATAATACCGACCTTTCTTCATCATGTACTGCATTTGCCAGAAACTACTCTTTTAAAAAGTTTTCCCCTGACAGTTTTATTTAGTTTATTTTGGGTACAATGTAGTCCAAATTAATCTCCACTTCACATTATGTCAAAACACTGTCTTCATCCTTTGATCAGATCAAGTACTTCAAACACTCCACTTCATTACACCTGCAGCTAAAGTCAGAATACTTCTTGAGAGGAAACATATGAAAAAGATTTGTTCACAATCTCTACAAAAGCTACTAAAGTGTTTTTTAAAAATTTAACTGTAAAATAAAAGAAGTGTAATCCAAAGAGATAAGTTATTATTATGACATACAGTGGAATGTTATGTAATGAACATGGATTGATAAATCGTGAGAACATTGGTTTCATTCTGATTGTCAGACGAATTAACTTCTGACCCTAAAGGGGTTTGGTTACACAGCTGAAGTATAGTCATCTCTGTTTGGAAGTACAAAATGTGTTTTTTCCTGACTGAGTTTTTATTGTGACAGAATAGAAGGAAAATTAACCAGTAAAAACTGTTGAACAATTACTAATCACCTAAGTCAAAATAAGATGAGGAAACACCCTCCATTTGGGTCATAGTATCTGTTAGGAAATAGATATGATATGCAATGATGGGAATAATAGCAAATAAGTCTGTTATGGAGCTTGGGTGAATTTTTTAGGGCACACCAAATATTGGGGAACTGCTGAAGCTTTCTAATTAGGGGTGTGCTGTGATCAAAGCAGTGCTTTGGAGGTTTGTTCTATCTCAGTGAGTGGCACCAGCCCTTACAGTAAGGTTCCCAGTCATTTGTTGTGGGAGTGGCAGAAAGGAATGAAAAGCCAGTTGAGAGGTTCTTTTTCCCCCTGGAATCAGGAAATACAAAGCTGAGAGTAAGTGGTGGGAATAAAAAGAAAGGGATACATTCCTGAGAAGTTGTGGACAAGGAATGGAGGTTTGACAACCTGACTGAATGTAAGGAGAGAAGAAGAAAGAGGCCATAGTGGCCATGTCAGATGAAGCAAGCAGGACTTTATCCTGATGAAAATATTCAGCAGTCTGGTGGGAGTGTTAGGTGCTAGCCTGAGTATGTGGATTTGGGGAATCATCTTTGTGTAAATGGTAGTTGAAACCATGGAATAAAGAGAAAGCGGAAAAGAAAAGGGCTGAGTGCACCACCCTGGATAAAGCTGCAATAATGGGTTTGGGGAGTCAGGGTAAACAGCAGTTGGGAAGGTGGGAAGAGAACTAGAATTCAGTTTGAAGAAACTGAGGAAGGAGAGAATTCCAAAATTGATGGTATTGATTATCTGTCAAACCCCTATAGAAAAGCTAAGGGGGGGATGAATGCCAACAAAAGGAGCTGTTTGTGGGTTGAGAATTCTTGGACCTAATGGGCTTGGGTTTATGTAGGGAAATTGGAGAGAGGGGCTTTTAATACCGTAATGAATCACATTTATTGCCTTCTTAATTGGCTCAATTTCTTGTTAGTAGTATGTCATTGTACCTAGAAGCTTAATTCATGGCTATCATCTTGTAATTACATTTTTTAAAGGTGAAAAAATAATTATGCCCAGAGGTGATTTTGGTGGGGAGAGAGCAGTGACAAGTTACTCATCACGTACCCTTTCTATTTTTCACAGTTAAACTTTTTTTTTCTTCATTGGTCCTTTTAATTTGGAGCAGTTTGAAGAAATAACATGAAATAATGGTCTTGGAAAAATGAATAAAATATGTCTTACTTGACATGTTGAAAATCCATTTATTAATGTTAATTGAGTTTCTTGTGGATATTTCTTTAAGGAATAGATATATATACACACACACACACACATGTTTAGCATCTGAAAATAAGCATGTATAAATAACCATGATTTATAGTAGAACAAGTACAATCATAAAAAAAGGAAAAGATAAATTGCTGTGGAAATTCAGAGGGGAGAGAGAGGGGTTTTCAGCTGTTTTCTTTTGGTGGGGAAGAGGATTTGGGGGAAAGGTTCAAGCAAGATGATAGGGGAAAGGTGTTTCAGGTAGAAGAAACCCTGAGCCAGATACAGATTTGGGGTCTTACGGGGACATTGGGCATTTTTGTTCGGTTGAAATGTGTGCATGTGGTGGTAGAGATGATGGAAAGATAGTTTGGAACCTTAATTTAGAAGATGGCAGGAATTTCAACTTTATTTGGCAGCAGCAGGGAGCCATTAAACATTTTTAAACAGAGAAGTGACATCACCTACCTGATACATTAGAAAAACAGCTGTTATTTGAAAGAGTAATAAGAGACATGCAGTGCTTATGTCATCAACAAAAATGATAAAGGATAAAAGAGAGATGTGTCTAATTGTACCATTTAGGTTGGATTAAAAAGTGAAAAAGTAGAGATAAGGAAACCAGTAAGGGAGGAGGTTTATGCAATACTTAAAACACAAATAAACCACAATCCTTGATGTCTGCTCTTTTCAAACAGTCATTAGTATTAAGTAGTATATTGTTTTATGGGCTAAGTTCTTTTTGTTGGAAGTTTTTGGCGTAAGTAGAAAAGGGAGCGTTAAAGTCATTGGGATGTCTTACAAAGACTGAAGGCAGATAAGGTTCTGTAGCTGGACCTCAGAAAGGTCTAGAACCAGGAGCTAAAAGCTTATTGATTAAGCCTCCCTCCCCTGCTCCCTCTACTCTATCAGGGTACTCACTGGACTCTTTTTATTTGTAAACTTTATCTCACTAGTCTAAGCCGAAGTTGGAAAATGGCCTTCCTCAGCTTCTATATTTCAGCCACCAGGAGAAATAGAGACTTAGTGACCCTTGCTCATGGTTTTAGTTCTCAGGGATAGGACTTTGATTTTATTGTGCTCAAAGATGAACTTATTTTTACTATTTTATAACTAGTGCCAATCAAGTGCATGGCCAGAAGAGTATAAATACACTGTGGGAATTTACTTCTCTAGATTGGAGAGTTAGTTAAGAGATGTCATTATAAGTTAGAGAGAAATCCCAAAGGGTGTTTACTATAATTGTGCACTTTGAGTTTTTATTGATGTTTTAATATATTGGTTGAAAGCAGACTATATTAAATTTAGAGAGGTAATATGAAAGATGTGCAGAAATTTACCCCCAGTACTGAATGTGTTTAAGTTGAAACCAGTTACCTTTGCGGGAGTGTGAGGTGTATGCACTGAGAGGAGACGAGTGCTGGGGTGCTGGAAATGTTCTGTATCTTGATCTAGGTAGTGTGGTTACACAGGTTTATGCACGTGTCAAAATTCATCAAGATGTGTGCATCTGATGTATGCAAGCACTATCTCAGACAAAAAGTTTATCAGGGCTATTTCTTTTTTTTTTTTTTTTTTTTGCTCATCAGTTTTCATTAGTGTTTGTGTATTGAATGTGCGACCCAAGACAACTCTTCTTCCACGGTGGCCTAGAGACGCCAAAAGGTTGGACACCCCTGGTAGGCAAAGCTAACGTGTTTGATTTATCTGCCTTCAGCCTTGTCACATAGATGCCCATATATCATTGGGGATCAATTAAGTTCCATTTGATTTTAGATAGGTATGCTTTTGAAATCATGTGACATTTTAAATGCATGTTATAAAAAGAGTTAAGACTTTGTATACTTTTTTCCCTAATTTAGGAGCTGTGACTGATGAAAATTAAAGGCCATGGATGAAGATGGACTTGAATTACAACCACAACAATCAAACTCATTTTTTGGTGCAACAGGTATAATTACTTGGGTTATTCCACTTTCCAACTACCAGATTTGGAGTTGGTTATCAAGTGTACAAATTGCGAGACTCTCACATTGATATTCACTCTTAGGTATGTTGTTACCTTGGCAAGCCTACAAATGTTAAAGTGAACATTTTATTTCCCTCCTTAAAAATTTGGCTCCCTCACAACCAACTCTGATATTCTTGTCAGTAACAGCAGCAGTAGCAAAACCTCAGTGTTATCTTCAGTTATTCTCATCTTGCCTAGTTATAAGCCCTATTCTCTCTTTAAAATGTTCTTGCTTACATCTGCTTCCTACCACGTGACAGGCTCTATCAGCTCATTCCTAGTCTGCAGTGACTTTTAAATTATTTTCCTCACCCTTACTCTCTTATATATAGCCCACGAACCAGAGTACTCATTACAGAGTAACATGTGGATCATGTCATTTTTCTGTTTTCTATTACCCGGTAGGTAAAGTATAAATCTAAGATCATCTGCATTCTGACCCCATCCTGCTATTATGACCCTGTCTCTTTCAGAGGTTGACAAGAGGAGGAGCCTTTTGACTCAGGAAGATAGTCTTATCTCACTTCCCAAACTGTATAGGAAAATGAAATTCATGAAGTTCTGAAAATAGAAAAAAAATATTCACAATTTTCGATTATCCATGGTTCCAATTATGTAACATTGTGAAGTGATTATGCTAGGTTTTATGATGTAAGATGGTTTTATATCATACTAGCTAGCTACCCTTATAATATTAATAATGAGTTTTCCATTGGACTTAAAGTGGTCATATTGCAGTATATTCAAGAAGTAGCGAATAACTATATCAAGAAATTAAGTGTTAGTGGTTTTTGATTTTAACTTTTCTGTAATCTTGAAATCCAGTGTATGTGGCAGGGGGTATGTGTACTTTTCTTAATGATTTGGGCTAGTCTTTTGGCTCAAGTTTGATAATTTCAATTCGATAATAAGTGAAAAATTATAATAATACTCTCATCATTAGAACAAAAATTATAATTAATGTGCTTGAAAGATAGATGAAGCTCTTTGAGGAAAAACATATAGTATTTGCTAGCTTAATCTTGCCACAAGCAAGCCTGGGTTATGGACCAAGTGGTAGATTGAAGGGCTGTTTCACTTTAGCCCTGATTGTTAACGCTTATGGTATTTGTTTATCTTTGAGCAAGTCACTTAATCTGCCAGGGCCTCCACTTTCATTTGTCCTAATAATAATGAAACCTCTCATTACAGTTTTTCAGAACACTTCCCATACATTTCCCATTTGATCATCACAACAGTCTTGTGAGGTATGCATGGCAGAAACTACTGTCCTCATTTTACTGATGAGGAAACCTAAACTCAGAGGTTAAATGACTTGCCCAATGTCACAAAACTAAGAAGTGTCCAAACCCTGTTCTCTGGTTTAGATTATTTCTCTTGCCACTGAATGCTTTCATCTTTATGTCTGCAAAATGGAGATTACAGTGTTCTATTGCTTGGTGTTAGTATTGAGAATATTGAAAACAAAAGTATAATGCTATAGAAATTAAAGCAAACATACTTTTTTATAGATATAAAACATTTATAGATATAACTAAAATAGATATTGATTGGCTTTAAGATTTCCTGCATTTTTAATGGTTCTTTGGCCCTTGTTGATCATTTGTATTTGTTAAAACAAAGCCATGTGTCTCTCTGAGGGCCTGGCCAGTGATAAAAACAGTCATTGAGTTAGGCAGCTGCTTGGACTCACCCTGGTCCGAGTCACATCCAGAAACACTAATTGAATGAATTGCTTTTTAGGTAAGATTTATATAAAACTTTGCTTTTCTCTGGACCAGGAGCCAAGATACCAGATTTGTTTTATCTTACATATGTTTTTTGGCAAAGGTACCTGATTTGGAGTCCCACTTGTGGCATTTATTCAGTGTAATATTTACTGAATACCATAATATATACAAACTGTGTGATCTTGGTGAAGTCATTTAATCTCATTGGACTTTAATTGATTCAGTCCTCTACCTTCATTCTTACCTGCAGAGTGGACTAGAGTAGGTTGCTTATACTCTCAGGAACTGCCTGGAGCATTGGGTTATGGGGCAGTGCAAGGAGGCTGGATGGAGGCAGAGTACCCTGGTGAAGTTGGGGCAGGCCCTGCTCCAACTAACTTCACCTTCCATTGCTTCATAGCAGCTGCACTTTTATTCATCTTACCTATCCACAGAGCTTCTTAACCAGTTAGTTGTCTTTCCTCTTTAAGAGGGTAGAAGACTGTGGCCTTCTACCCTCTTTTATTTACGCCCTGATCCTTTTGTATCCTAGATTCAGAGGATAATAGTCTAAATTTCCATAGTCATAAGTGGAGGATATTCATGGGATATTGTACCAGGACAAAGGGGGAGAGAGGGGAAAAAATGGAAGGGAAATATAAGAAATACATGGGAGACAGGGAAAGAAGAAAAAGTATGAGTTTAGGAGGGAAAGATGGAGCAAGATGGAAGAGAAATGAAATACATATACTGAAGGGAAAGGGTGTATTTGCCACCTAAAGTTGCTTTACTTATTAATTTTTATTATCATCCCTTAAGTAACTATGCATATGGGTTTAATTTTAGTGAACCAAGGATTTTACTTTCATGAATATTTTTCTTCTGTGACTACTTCAGTTGCTTGGTTTTCCTGTTTCCTTATCTATTAATTGATTTGGGATGAGTATAAAAGTTCTTGTATTAGAATTTTCATTTCTGATATGATTCAAGAATGGATTCCCTCTTTATTTCTTTAATCTAACTGAATGTTTGAGGAAACTGAGAAGCTAGTCTGTTTTCCTGATAGAAATTAAATAAACATTTATGTTAATTGAGGTAGTCATGCATGCCTATCTGGAATTGTGATTTTAATTTTTTCTTTTTTAAGGAGCTGATACTGCACACATGGATGGTGATCAAATTGTTGTGGAAGTACAAGAAACCGTTTTTGTTTCAGATGTTGTGGATTCAGACATAACTGTGCATAACTTTGTCCCTGATGACCCAGACTCAGTTGTAATCCAAGATGTCATCGAGGATGTTGTTATAGAAGATGTTCAGTGCCCAGATATCATGGAAGAAGCAGATGTCTCTGAGACAGTCATCATTCCTGAGCAAGTGCTGGACTCAGATGTAACTGAAGAAGTTTCTTTAGAACATTGCACAGTCCCAGATGATGTTTTAGCTTCCGATATTACTTCCGCCTCAATGTCTATACCAGAACACGTCTTGACAAGTGACTCTATACATGTGTCTGATGTTGGACATGTTGAGCATGTGGTTCATGACAGTGTAGTTGAGGCAGAAATCGTCACTGATCCTCTGACAACTGATGTAGTTTCAGAAGAAGTATTGGTAGCAGATTGTGCCTCTGAAGCAGTCATAGATGCCAATGGGATTCCTGTGGACCAGCAAGATGATGACAAGAGCAACTGTGAGGACTACCTTATGATTTCCTGTAAGTCTTGGGGTACAGTGATTGCCAAAGGTATTTTTGAAGGCTGTCTTTCCTAACTTACAGGGGTGAAATTTTCTTTACATCTATAAAAGTAAATTTCATAGACATTCCTGCGTTGTTTCAGCTTGGAGCCTGTCAGATAAGTCAAAATTAAGAAAAGCAAAGTTGTACAGAATAAAGTCATTTCTCTATAAGGACGCAATAGAAAAATGAGATTTCTTCAGTCTAGAAAGACAAAGACGGAAAGGAATAGAACTGAACTTTGTGAAATCATGAAGTATGTGATCAGGCTGTTACCAGCCTTTATTAGAATTAGGAACCCTATTGAAACGTAAAAGGAGTTCATATTGGAAAAAGATGTATAACCAAACTACTTATATTCTTGTATGTGCATGTACTTACTACTTATGTAATGCTTATGTGGTTATGTAAAATACTATATAACAGATAGCATGGAGAAGAACTCTGGCATAGCACTGGAACATAAGTGATTCTAGAACACGATTTCAAGTGTGATGGACTCATGTTAGGTTATTGGAGAAAAGTAAGGTGTTTTGGAACATACCTCTAACTGTTTTAACTTAATGTCTGGGGGGATAGCTGTGTCTTCTTACAGGTATTTCTTGGTACCATTTTTAGACATATAGTCCTCACTTGGATAGACCACAGTTCTGACCCAGTGTGGAAACTCTTAGGTCTTTAGGAACTAAACATCAAACAAATAAAGACCCACTGACCATTTGCTTATATAAATTCATAAGACTATTTCTTTGCTTGACTACCTAATGTAATACAGGAACTTAGAATAATATATATTGGAGTCCAGCATTTTAGGAAAAATACCTTTTAAAAGTTCTGTAAGATTTTAGAAATCACAGAAGTCTTTGTGTAAAGAAGAAAACACCAACATTCACCATGTTGTTTATTGGGCCCCTGCTGTGTGTCAGACATTGTAGGTAGTGCAGGTATGGGTATGTGCCACATTAAAAAAATACATGAAACCATTTTCCTTGGAGAGGTTACTGTCTACTGTGGGAGAGAGAACAAGAGGTTGTCCTGTGATGCAGAGATGTGTCTAAATTGCCATGGAGACTGGATGGAGTTGCTGACCTTTAAACTCAAGGACAAGTTCTAGTTTTACAAGATGAAGAAAGGCATGGGAGAGAGGGAGACATTCTAGGCAAGTGGTGTAGTATGTAAAAAAGGTCCTGGCCTTTGCTGGAAATGACGGGAACTTTACAATGTACGTGTATATCTTTGTGCACTTTCTGTTTAATTCCTTAGAATAAATTTCTAGAAGTAGAATTGCTGGATCAAAGGGTATACACATTTACAAATCTGGTTATAGTGCCTCAGTATAATGCCTACTATAACTTTCCCGATGAAGTCGATGATAATGTCCATTTCCCTGCACTCTGACCAACAAGGTATTTTCCTTTTTAGTTTTTACCAGTTTGACAGGAGAAAATATGGTATCCTGTTTGCAGTTTGAATTTATTTTAGGAAGATAATTCTGGTCATAATATGGAATAATAATGGGTAAGGGAGAGATTAGTGGCAGAGAATAGTTCAGATGGTTCACTTATGAAATAAAGAAGATCCTAAGTACCTTCACAGTAACGGAGACAGAGAAAGGGAGCTGGATTCAAGAGAGAGTAATTAGGAGGTAAAGTGGATGAGATTTGGTAACAGATAGAGTAGGTGTGAGTATTTGAGGGAGAAAGAAAACAAGAAGGTCCTGAGGTTTCTACCTTGGGAGATGGGGTACCTGGTCATGCCATTACCTGGGAGGAGGAAATTAGCCAGAGACAGAAAGTACAAGGACTGTTTGAATGTAGGGAGCTATTTTCTCTGCAGCAAATTCACCTGCTAATATAGAAGAATATGCAGAGGTTTGGTGGAAAGCTGAAAGATGGTGGGTGACAAAGGGTTGAAAAGCCTTTGTCGGGGTGGGCCAGGGCAGAAAGCTAAGAACTTACAAGACAGATTGCTGAATTGTATTGAGGGGCCACCTGAGATGGGAGTCTTTTAGGTTTTTATGTAAGATGCACTACTTAGTATAAAAATGCTGTTTTTAAATACTGTCAGATTTTCTATGACAAGACCAGGCAACCCAGGGGCAAGGCTGGAGAAAGTAGGGAATCGGGTTCACCCTGCTTTATAAAGGCATGAGGATCTGGTGAAGTACTTCTCTTTCCATTTTCTGCCCTTCATGTCTTTTTAAACTTAGTTGCTAAGGAGTAAAATGTATGACTTTGATTTAGCCTTTAGCTGTACATCATCTGGTGCCTTTATTATTCTTTAAGGAAGTTCAACCCTCCAAGAAAGTCACCAAAAAACCCAGACATTGCCTTAGTAACAGTTGACATCTAGTTGTACTAGATGCTTGTGTTAGAGTCCAGACTTGTGAAGTTTTCATTAAAAAATTTTATTTACAGTCATCTTTCTTTTATCCCTGGCTGTTGTGGCTCAGTGGATTGAATGCTGGCCTGCAAACCAGGGCTTTGCTGGTTCGATTCCTGGTCAGTCAGAGCACATGCCTGGGTTGTGGGCCAGGTCCCCAGTGGGGGGATGCTTGAGAGGCAACCACACATTGATGTTTCTCTCCCCTTCTTTCTCCCTCCCTTCCCCTCTCTCTAAAAATAAATAAAACCTTAAAAAAAATTTTCATCATTACAGAAAGTGTTATTGACTAGTACTGGTTGATAGTCTCAGTGAAATTGCAAACAATATAATTTCATTTTTACAGCCCAAAGAAGAGATACAAAGGTTCAAAGACTATAAGACAAGAGAGGCTGATAGAAAGTAAACGGACAAAATTCAGAAAGAAGCGGAAGAGAAAAATAAAAATATCAAGATAAAATCCACCATGGAAGCAACTATAACAATAAATGTGCCTCAGTTTATAGCCAGGGGCAGAAGGAATGGGCTTTATGAAATTAGAAAAAACGACATGGTTAAAAAAACTAAGATGAAAAATGATTATGGAGAAGATGGATAGATAAAGAAGACAGACAAATGTAAGAAATTACAGAAGAAGGAAAGAACCAATGAACTAGAAAAATGTAATGGAAGAAATTCTGAAATAAAGATAACTTTTGTTTCAAGAAATTGACAATGATAAAACCACCCAGTTATAATCATGATGTTTAGTGAACTTCAAAACATTATAGGCATATTCACACAGATACTCAGGGGAGCATACTCACACAAAAGACGGGAACAATGTCTACAAAATTCTGAGAAAATGTAACCTAGGAATTTTATACCCAGCCAAAACTTAATGAATTGACATTTTGAAGTACTTAGGAAGTCAGACTGTAGCATCCATTAGCCCTTTTTGACTGTTCTATGTGATAATGCATTTAGTAAACCAAAGGATCAATCAATAAAAAGAACTGTACAATGGAGAAGTTGTAATAAAAGGATTTGTAGTGAGTATTGAGTGAACTTAATATAAAACTAACTATAAAATACTTGGGAAGAAGAGGTGTGTGAATGTGTTAATTTCCACATCTTTCATAGTAAGTAAGGTGAGAATAGTGGATTTAAAATTAATTCATGTATTATGAGCAAAGTATGACTCAATGTTTTTTATATTATCTTTGGAGGGTTAAGAACTTGAAATACATTTACTTCAATATCAGTATTTATATATTTAACAAATGAATGTTGTGTGCTTTTACTGTACGTTGGGCAGTATTGTAGGCACTTGGGATACATTAGTGAGCAAAACACGATACTGCCTTTCATGGAGGTAATATTCTAGCAGAGGTACATAGACATAAATAAGTGATATCGTACAGGTGATACATGCTTGGGAAGAAGTGTATAAAAACGGTTTTAGGTTACAAATGTGGTCAGGGTTTGCTAAGAAGATGACATTAGAGCAGAGACTTAATTGTGAGATATCTGGTAGACATCAAAGATGTACAAGTCTGGCTTTGGGAAACAAGACTACAGTGGAGATGCAAAATTGGGAGTAGTTAGCATCTAGATGAAATTTAAGGTCTTAAGACAGAACGAGATCTATCACCAAAGGAGTGATTGTGGATAAACCAAGACCAAGGACTAAGTTCTGGGGTTTGTAACATGAAGAAATAGGATCTGGCAAAGACCGAGGAAACATGGCCAGTAAGGGGAGGAGGAAACCAAGAGCTTGGGTCCTGGAAGCCAAGTGGGGAAAGTGCTGCTAGGACAATTCAGATGAGGCCTGAGAAAGGATGACTTTGTTGAACAATTTTGGTGAAGTGGCCTGACTGAAGTGAGTTTAGAGGATATAGAATGACAAGAATTGGAGAGAAGGAGGTGGCAGACAAATGGGATCAAGGGTTTTCGTTTGGTGATGAGAGAATAGCTTGTTTGTTCTGCTAAGGAAAACCATCTATCCAGTGGAGGGCATATGGGGAGTTAGGAGGCTTTAGCTAGGAGTGCAGATGGTTTTACTATGGTTAGAGACCACTTTAGTTGATAGGTGGGTAGGTGGTTATCTCTTGTGATTGTTTCAATTATTTCTTGTGAAGATCATCAATAAGCCCTGACTTAGGTAGCTCGGTCAGGGCGTTGTCCCCATACGCAAAGGCTGTGGTGATCAGGGCACATACAAGAAGCAGTCAGTGAAAGTACAAATACGTGAGACAACAAATCAGTGTTTCTCAATAAATAAAAAATTTAAAAACAGATCAGAGAGAGAGGGTGGGGAGATGATAGTGGAGGGGAGAACGTGGAAAACAGGAGAGGGGGAAAGTAGTAGAAAAGATCTACTGCACATTCAGGCTCCTGAATTTGAAGCGAAGCCATCAGCGCGTGTATGTGTTCCCAACCCGATTTAGTCACATAGGTACTGGTGCAGAGGCAAAAGAGGAAAATTGGATCTAGCCAAGGTTTCGGTTCAGCCAGGCAGTATGATGAAATGAAGAGAGGTGGGGCAAGGGATTGGAGAGCCAAGGAATGGGATTGATCATGGAATTAAAGTCTGAGTAAATTCTAATGTAATAATTTTTGTTTAAAAATAGCACATTACCCAATTTTCACTAAAAAAAAACCCTCTTCATTTTGTCTTCCACCCTTTTATTTCTAATTATGCATAGAAATGTCTGAATAATGATCCGTAAATTCTATCGATAATTCCATTTGGTGACATTTTGAGCACAGTTTTTGTACTTTTTAAATACTTAATATAAGCTATATAATTTCTACAATAAACTATATATTTTTAAAAGTAAAGTTGCAGAAACATAAATGAATGGAAATAAAAACATTAAGTTCAGGGTACATAGTGTAGTCTGGGGGCTGCTGGGGGAGATAGGACTGTGAAGGTAGAAGGCAGTTTGCTCAGTTTGGTTGCTAGACTGCAATTTGTACTTGGTAGGAAATAGGGCACCATTCTCTGCTAGAGTAAAGTGATTGGATCTTTATTTTAAGAATCTGACTGAAGGCAATGTCTAAGGGATTTTGGTGTGATGTCTTTTTTATGATGTTAATGTACACAAAATGCAATTCCATTGCAGTCTAATACCACACATTTTTCTATCTTGGCAAAAATTATAATGAAATTGGTCTTGAAACTTAGGTGAGAATAACAAAACGATATCACCTATTTTATAAGGTTGTTGTGAGGAGTAAATGAGATATTTTAAGGGCTTAATATCATTCTTTGCATGTGGTATGTGGTGGGTAAATGTTTGGTGTTATCATTATCACAACCACTGACATTTCTTATTGTATAGATTCTCCACGAAATGTTCTTTATATCAGCTTACTTTTGCTGATTTTTAAATTAGATCAGTGTTCCTTTCATAAGCAATTTGTTTGAAGTGGTATATTCCCCCCCACCCTCCAGTAATTTTTCTTTTCCAGGAATTACTGAGTTTTCTGAAGTCTTAATGAACTACATTTTAGATTCTGTAGCATCTCTTAGCATTGCAAATAACCATCCCTTAATTTTTCGTCTTCAGGGGATGTTACTGAAGCTCCTTTGAAGCGGTATAAGTATGCCTATATTTGCTATAGTTTTGCTGTTACTAAATGAAATCGGTGCTAAGTCAGATTTTTTTTCAGTTTTGAAATTTAAAATGCTGAATGAGATAATAAAGATTATTCCATAAGGCTTGAGGAAACCGATGCCAGTTTCACTTTTTAAAAAGTAGAAAAAACTGGGAAGGAAATTTGCTAACATAATGATGGTATCTCTGGTTGGTGGGACTATTGGTGATTTTTAAAAAGTACTAAATTATATACAGTGAACATACATTTCTTTAAAAAATCAGAAGAAAATAAAGGTCTGGGTTATATCCAGATAAGGACCTCCTCACTCTGTCTCCCACATCTCACTTACTGGTTCACTGACTTTGGGCAAGTCACGTGCCATCTCAGAGCCTTTATTTATCTGGAAAAGATGAGAAATAAATAAAAGTACATAGAAATGCTAAGGAAATTGTGAAATGCCATGCAAATGGTAGTTATTATTAGAAATAGTCTTAATTTTCAGAAATTATGCGCTTCTGTTTCAGAGAGACCTTGTTCTAAAGCTCTAGTTCTTTATTGCTGCATTAGAAGAAGGCACTTAATGCAGAAATCATATGTACGGTGACTCAGTGTTATCAAAGCCTTCTTTGTCTGTTTTTAGAAGTTCATTTTTAATGGTAGCTTTAAAACCATAGTGAAATTTTGAGTAACAGGGCTATCAAAGTATTTTTTAAACAAATCACTTTTATAATATTTCATATTTGGATTAATTTCATAGGTTGAGTTATGGGGCAAATTCTCAAGGTGAAAATCTGAAGGTTAATTCTACTTTTGTCGAATTGATAGAATAGCTTTGTTCAGCTCAGGTAAGCCTGTATATTTGAAATGTGTTTCCCACACATTAATGAAAACAGAAAAGTCTTTTACTTCAAGTTACAGGTAAATACATGACATTTTGCAAGCTCAAAAATGATTAGATTTTCTAGTCATCAAAGGTTTATCTTATGAGTACCAACAAACTAATGTGCACATAAACAGCTAGCCTGACCTTGTTCTTTGTAAACACAAGGGCACTTGATCTTCTAGTACTTGTTAGAATCAGTTTGGCTAGGCCTTGCCAAAAGAGGCCAAGCTTCATCAACAGTACCAGCTGTCAGAGATTAATTCTCTGAAGACATAACAAATTTACTCAGGACTTTCCTGCTAGTTTGGTGAGATCTTCATCCTTCTAATGCAGTCACAGCCTAAAACTCCAAAGCCGCCTTTAAGAAAATAACATCGGCACCCTGGCTGGGTGGTTCAGTTGGTTGAAGTGTCATTCACAACAACGTTGTGGGTTCAATTCCCGGTCAGGGCATACATACCTAGGTTGTGGGTTCTATCCCAAGTTGGTGCATATAGGAGGCAACCAAGTCATGTTTCTTTCTCTCTCTCTGCTCCTCCTCCCCCCCCCTTCCTTTCTTTAAGTATATCCTTGGGTGAAGATTTAAAAAAAGAAAATAACATTGGCTCAGTCAGCTTGCATATGACATAAAAATATTTAGCTTTGGAAAAGGGCAGGTACACATCAGGCCAGAAAGAAGGACACAATGCAGATTCTCCCTGCAAACCATATTTATTTATTCTTTTTTTACAAACCATTTTTATAAAACATAGTCGAGATCTGAATTTAGGTAGTTGTCTTCAGAGTTCAGAGAACTTCTTGTTTTTTGTTTCTCCTTTTTTAATTGCAACGAGTTTAATCAACTCGTCTCTTTGACCGTTCATATCATTAAGCTTGTCCTGGATCAGTTCAATTTCTCTAGCTTCTTAAGCTCTTAACCCAGTCTACCATTCTCTCACTGGTAACCAAGTCCTTTCTTCCTATTTCATTGTTGAAGCCAACAGCCACGAACTCCTCTAACTTTCTGCATTACAACCTTCCCCCTTTCCCTACACACAATGTAGCTATGTTCTCATCCAGGTTGCCTTCTCATGTCTTGGAAGGATAACTTATTTCTCCTCCTATTTCAGGATAATTCCTTTATCTTTGCACCTAGTGTCATCTCTGTTTTCCTCTTGAGATCTTGATCCAGAAATTTCACTATATCTTGCTTCAGCCTTCACTTTCTGTTATATTTTCTCCCACAGATTGAGCATGCATGCGTATTTTATCAGGTAAACAGAAAAGCCCTTGACCCTGCAACCCATTCTAGTTTACCGCCCCTTTGTTTACTTCATTTTTATTTTTAAAATTTTAAAATGTTGTTTTTTCCATCACCATTTATCACCCCCCATACCTTCTTCCACCTTCACCTCTCCCCCTGCAATCACCACACCGTTTTGTTCACTTTAAAATAAAACTTCTTAAAAAATAAAAATAAATAAAATAGAACTTCTTAAAGAAAGTCATACCTTCTATTGAATCCTCCACCCACATCTAACTCCATACCATCAAAGGGTGCTCTGAGCACAGAGGAATATGGACAGGTACCAGCTCTGAGAGCTTTTAAAGATGTTACCCTTTGGATCTCAATTAATGAAACATGCAGGAGGAGAGATCCTTTTCCTCATTTCTTGGAACATTTCTTCCCTAGTCACTCAGTCACCTAAATCACAAGTCCCATAGTTTTTCTGGGCTCCTTTGTCAAGTCCAGCCCTCTTCCCCATCTGTACTGTCTCTGTCCTGATCTGAGGCCTCAACATCTGTCACCTGCATTATTGCAGTAGATTGACAAGTGGTATCCCTGTTTCACGTCACACTCCTTTGGATCCACCTTTCTTAAGGCTAGCGTGGTATAGCAAAAAGGATGATCTCAGCTTGTCACTGCTTGTCTTAAAGGTGTCCCATCACCTACAGCGGAGGTTGTCAAAATTCTGATTAGAATCCCTAGGGCAAGCTACCTCTAAATCTGTCTATCAGGCCCCACCCTTGCAGATTCTGACTTTGTAGAACTGCTGGATGCTGGCCCATACTTTTAAGTTCCCTGAGAGATTTTGACATTCGACCAGATTGAGGAACCTCCAGCGTGCCAGGATCATGTCTTGAGCTTCTGTGCCTGGTTACATAAGGCCCTCCAAACTTCAGCTTAGTCATTGGCCACATTTGCCACCATGCCCCAGGTGTCTACTGGTTGAGATAAAATTCAATTTTATGTGAATCAAGTTAAAGATTGTATTGGTAAAAAAAAAAAAAAGTTTTGGAAATGATAACATTTAAGTGCCTACTAATATTTGTAATGTGTTTCCTGTCTTTTTAGTGGATGATGCTGGCAAAATAGAACAGGATGGTTCCTCTGGAATGACCTTGGACGCAGAGTCAGAAATTGATCCTTGTAAAGTGGATGGCACTTGCCCTGAAGTCATCAAGGTGTACATTTTTAAAGCTGACCCTGGAGAGGATGACTTAGGTGAGAGGATAGCTTCAGCATATTACACATCCTGATCCAAACACTTCAACCTGATTGCTTTTGGGTGGGTTAGACTGAGAACATTGGAAACCTTTTCTGAAGATTACTTTTAAGCAAGAATTCCAATGTAGCAGTAGGAAAGTATGTAAAATGTGGTACGTGAAATAGGTGGAAATGAAATTTTTTACATAAATTTTTGGAGCTGTCATCTTCCCTGATAGGTGGCACTGTAGACATTGTGGAGAGTGAGCCCGAGAATGATCATGGAGTGGAACTACTTGATCAGAATAGCGGTATTCGTGTGCCAAGGGAAAAGATGGTTTATATGACTGTCAATGACTCTCAACAAGAAGATGAAGATTTAAGTAAGTAGGTGGCCTTTTTGTGGGAGAAAGTTTTATCTCTGTAGATCTATAAAAATATAAATAAATTATGTATATATGGCCAATGTTTAAAGGAAACAAGTAGCGTTATTGTAGAGATTATTATGCTACTGTATTCCAAGGGAACCATCAGGGACCTATCATGTATACTTAGAATGTTGCTTTAAAAACAAATTGTGGTGAAAACCAAAAAATGAATGATTCATTCAAATATTTGAGTGTTTACTATGTGAAAATCATGTTGCATGTATGAATATTTGAACCTTCTTTCTACTTGTCTATTAAATGAATGAAATGACGGTATCTTTCCTGTGATCTCTGTGAAGCTGATCACAAAAGTCTATATAATTTTCTACTTAGATGTTGCTGAAATTGCTGACGAAGTTTATATGGAAGTGATTGTAGGAGAAGAGGATGCTGCAGCAGCAGCAGCAGCAGCTGCCGCACACGAACAGCAAATCGAAGACAGTGAAATCAAAACCTTCATGCCAATAGCATGGGCAGCAGCTTACGGTAAGTTGCATAGCCCTTAGGATTGACTTGGTTTTTTAATGTGAATTCATGATTGAAAAACAGTTTCTGTGGTCTTAGATTTCAGAAATCTGAAATGCCACTAACCTGTAAGGATTATTTGACTTGAACAGGAGTAGAGGAAGATTATAAAGTCACTCTTTTGTCTTTATTTTTAACAGGACTTTCTTTCACGTGTATAGCACACAGAAGGAAGTATTGCAAGAAGTACATAGGCTTTCAAACTGAAACTTTTCATCTCGATTTTCTCTGGCCTGTACCTTTTTAATTTTGGGAGACAACAAGGAAGTCCATGGGGCAAAATGCTTTCATGTGTTTTTTTAGATTTGGAAGCTAGGCCATTTCTCCTGGTCTCACTATAATAAACGCAGTTATGACACCCATTACCTAGAATGTGGAATTTCTGTCATTCATGAGTATCATGGCTTACTTTTCATTGTTGTAGTTAATAAAGAATCCCTAATTCTTTATAATTTATAATACAGTATAATTTTGTTTTTTAATGCGCATCGTTAGGTAATAATTCTGATGGAATTGAAAACCGGAATGGCACTGCAAGTGCCCTCTTGCACATAGATGAGTCTGCTGGGCTCGGCAGACTGGCTAAACAAAAACCAAAGAAAAGGAGAAGACCTGATTCCAGGCAGTACCAAACAGGTGAGGGCACGCGAGTTCCACAGCACAGCTTGCTTTGCGAGCTCTCAGATGAAACTAGTATGTATCCACAGAGATGTTGTGATGGCATTTTAGCTGCTAGACCACATGTAGCTTTTGTGTATTGAAGTGGAAAATATAATTTTAAGAATTCAGTGATATTCATGAATGATTTTCTTGGATAAAAAGAAACAGGGAATGTATCAAACATGAATGAAAAATTTCCAAACTCCGGTGATTTTATGTGGAAGTGAAAAGAAATCCCTCAAATATGTTATAAGCATTAACTTTTTTAAAAAAAACAAACAATATATTGAGAGAATCTGATTATGTCCAGGTAAAGGAGGCACAGTTTATAGAGCAGCAGGACAGGTACATCTGTTCATGTGACACATTCCTATCTATTCTTATTTGCCCATGTGCATCTCAGACATTTTATAGTGTATTTAAGTTTTACTCTAAATTAACATAAATTATGTTTTTTGGAATAATCAAAGCAGAAATTGTGATTATGAAACTTTATGAATAATTTCCCACCAATTTCTAAATCAATAATAGCTTTAATCACTAGTTGATGGAAGTTCCATATTTATTCATTTTTTTTTTAACTGGAGGGAGTGAGGTTGGTATGACATACTGAATGAAATGTCTGGACCAGGTTGCTCTTTATGACAAGGTTGCTAAATCTCTTAGGGTGAAAAATGGTAAAAAGCAATGTTACATAGCAAATATCTCAACTTTAGGAGTACTTGCCCAATAATGTTCAGAACACGCCCTTTAAATTCTCGAAGAAACCAAACCAGAACTTGGCTTGATTGTTTACACACCTTTCTTTTTCTTTTTTAGCAATAATAATTGGCCCTGATGGACATCCCTTGACCGTCTATCCTTGCATGATCTGTGGGAAAAAGTTTAAGTCAAGAGGTTTTTTGAAAAGGCACATGAAAAACCATCCTGAACACCTTGCCAAGAAGAAGTACCGCTGTACTGACTGTGATTACACTACCAACAAGAAGATAAGTTTACACAACCACCTGGAGAGCCACAAGCTCACGAGCAAGACGGAGAAGGCCATCGAATGCGATGAGTGTGGGAAGCATTTCTCCCATGCTGGGGCTTTGTTTACTCACAAAATGGTGCATAAGGAAAAAGGAGCCAATAAAATGTACAAGTGTAAGTTCTGTGAATATGAAACAGCTGAACAAGGGTTATTGAATCGCCACCTTTTGGCCGTCCACAGCAAGAACTTCCCTCATATTTGTGTGGAATGTGGGAAAGGTTTTCGTCACCCGTCAGAGCTCAAAAAGCACATGCGAATCCATACTGGTGAGAAGCCCTACCAATGCCAGTACTGCGAATATAGGTCCGCAGACTCTTCTAACTTGAAAACACACGTAAAAACTAAGCATAGTAAAGAGATGCCATTTAAGTGTGACATTTGTCTTCTGACCTTCTCAGATACCAAAGAGGTGCAGCAACATGCTCTTATCCATCAAGAAAGCAAAACACACCAGTGTGTGCATTGTGACCACAAGAGTTCGAACTCAAGTGATTTGAAACGACACATAATTTCAGTTCACACGAAGGACTACCCCCATAAGTGTGACATGTGTGATAAAGGCTTTCACAGGCCTTCAGAACTGAAGAAACACGTGGCTGCCCACAAGGGTAAAAAAATGCACCAGTGTAGACACTGTGACTTTAAGATTGCAGATCCATTTGTTCTGAGTCGCCATATTCTCTCAGTTCACACGAAAGATCTTCCCTTTAGGTGTAAGAGGTGTAGGAAGGGATTCAGGCAACAGAATGAGCTTAAAAAGCATATGAAGACACACAGTGGCAGGAAAGTGTACCAGTGTGAATACTGTGAGTATAGCACGACAGATGCCTCGGGCTTTAAACGGCATGTTATTTCCATTCATACGAAAGACTATCCCCACCGTTGTGAGTACTGCAAGAAAGGGTTCCGAAGACCTTCAGAAAAGAACCAGCACATAATGCGGCATCATAAAGAAGTGGGCCTGCCCTGATGATACTTCGACAGACGTTTGTGGAGATGTTGGCCTTGAAGCAGAAAATTCATTGTAAAGCCAATCAGTCTCATTCACATACAATACTGTATATTGATTTATGCTGTGTACAAATAGAATATCGCTTCTAGTTACTTTTGTGTTTTTTTTTTTACATTTTGTTCAGTAGTGTGTTCTGAATTCTATTCAGTTTGTTTAATCAATGGGGAAGAGCAGCAAGAAACAAGTTGCTTTTAATGAAGTAAACCTTGCTTCTGTACTGAAATTTCCTATCTTATTAGTTTTATATTTATTTAAATATTTACCTTGCTTACCTTGATGGTACTCTTCTAAGAGCATTTAACTTAAAGTTAGGGAAACTTTAGATTGAGTCATTGTGATTACTTTCAGAGTAACTATTTTTCCATGATGGATTTCTCACAATAAAATTGTCAGAGACATCTACTAACATAAATGGGAGATTTAGCAGTCATGTCTAATTAGGCTACCATGGAAGTCATTTACTTGTCTTGCTTAATCTTTTCAGACCACATGACAATGAAAGTTTCCATTTGAACTTTTGCATCCCTGGCATTGCTGAGTAAAGAACAGTGGCTGGGTTTGTGTTTACTTTTCATTTTGTTTAGCAGACAAAATATACTTTGGGGGGGGGCTTTCTTTGGAGTATTTACATCTTTTGTCAGCATAGCAAAGTTTTAGAAAACTTTACTGAAAAATTTTGCTTGATCTTGTTGTATTTTGATTATTCTGTCTGTGCTGCTTTGTCTTGGAATGGTTGTGTGCTACAAATGAGACTTATTGGGGACTGCATTTTGGAATCTCCTAGAGGTAATTTGTAGCTCTTAGGATCTTTTTGCAACTTTATATATGTAAATGTACCCTGAATTATGTATATGCACATACATATATATATATATATAACATGTATCTGTGTGTATTGCTTATTTTACATATTTATACACACAACCCCAAGTAGTAGTTTAAAATCTATAATGAAAAGTATTAAATTTACAATAACATGAAAGATGCAGGGATGTATGAGAGCATTTTGTAAATCATGCTCTTCAGAGAGACTACTCAGGTGAAGAATTAGAAGGAAAATAAGGACACTAGTATTTTTAAAGAGTAAAGGTATTTTCTTTTAAATATCTTTGGTAATTGAAAAATAGAAGTTAAGATGTTTCTAGATAGAATGTTTTCATACAACTTCAGCTCCATGCCTTTATATTTTTCTGAAAAGCTAACGAGTATCCAGACAGACCTTCCTCGGTTCTCTCTGAGAAGCCCCTGTGAGGACTCTGTATCACCAACTGAGGGAGAGTTAGGAAGCTACGGCTCCACATACCAGAGACTGGGTGCTAATTATGATTTACACTTTTCAAGTTCAGCCTACTCTGTTATTTCTTAGTTATAGCTAGGAAACTTTCAAAAACTTAATGCACAAGTTGGCTTTGATTAGAACATAAGATAAAGGTATGTTTTAAGTGCATGAGGGAAATCTGAGGCCTTATTTGGAACGTCACCTAGTCTTTCACTGTTTTGTTTTTCTTTGAGGGTTGATATTGTTTAAGCAAATAGTTCTGGCTCATAAAATGGATGCAGTTATTAATGAGAATTTGGTTGTGTTAAGATGCATTTTGGGGAACAGAAGACAGTTTGGGGGGTCCTTAAATTGGCTGTCAGCACATACGAGTACCTGGCACATCATGGGAGATTTAGGACTTTTCTTCCCATTTGATAGCTGCCTTGCCTCTTCATTATGGTGCTCCATCCTCTTTCTCTTTCATCTTTCTCTTTGTTGTTGATATCTGTATTCAAGAGTTTGTAGGGTTAGAAGTCTAAATACTGAGTGTTTGGCAAGCGTTTGAAGTGCTGGGTTCATTTAGTCCAGTTCTAAGTCAAGTCGTTTAAGCTGGTATAAACTCCATCCTGAATGCCAGTCAGAACCAAGGCCTGGACTTGTCCCAGTGGGAACTCCTGTGTCCTCTTGGCCTCCACAACGTGCTTTTTAAAAAAAAGTAACTTAAAATTGTGTGATTCATTACCCTGTAGCAGTTCTATTCTTGAAAGCTCTGTCTGTTTTTTTGTGAGAACCTTTAAAATCTCCCTTATTTTTTATTTTTCTCAGATTAATGTAAAACACTTAAACCGGAAATTTAGTAATTTTAAAACATTCTGTAAAATTAATACAGAAAATATAAATAATTGGTCATCTATTTTTTTAAATAAACTGAAAGATAAAGAACACAGCATTTTACACACTTTATATTTCTCTTAATAGTCTGGAATCATACACAGTTCTTTTCTTTTTAAAGCACAATATTGAAACCTTTAAAAGGTATTTAAGGGTTTGGTCAAGTGAATATTATAAAATGTGTTTGTCTGTATAAAGAGAAAATGAAATTGTAGTCACTTATGTACTGACATTAGTTACAACCTAGTTTTAATTCTTAAAACAATTTTGATTAGCAAAGCTAAAAAACATGGTTGTTTCAGTTAAATGTTTTAAAGAGGTACAGATTTTTACAAGGACATAATATAAGTTATTGTTCTGTAGAAATATCCTATTAAATATTGTATGTCCCTCCCTCTGTACACTTTGTAAAAAAAGTAAAATACATAAAAAGAAAATCATATAGGGATGTGTGACATTATTGTAATTGTGTATTTGAGAATAACGTGCAAAAATAAAAATCAGAATATTTTCCTGTTACTGAATGTTTAGTCTATTTGATACCTGTACTAAGTTAATGCTTTTTTCTTAAAAAAAAATGTACAGTTTTTGTAAACCTAATAAACATCAAAAGCAGTGGATTATTTTCATTTCCCCATTTCTTAATTCCTTTTATGCAGCAGTGGAATTCAAAATGCTTGATTGCTTTGAAATTTGTGACTTGAATGCAAATACTGATAATATTTCAGCCCTGCAAATTTGCAAGTAATATTTCAGGGAAGAGGTGATTGGTGAATCCTTTGATGAGCATGTCCTTGAAATTCATTTTTTCTTTTATCTCCATGAAGAATTTGTTTTATTAGCATCCCCAATTCCCGAGATAACTTCCCTTGCATAAAGTGGTTTTTGAGAGCACTTAAAGTTCACTCTATCAATCTGTAGCACATTGAATCAGTGGAGGTTGTCACCACCCTCCACAGCAGAAGCCCTGCCCTAAGGTTCCTCTTTGGTGCCAGTTTGGAGGGCCGTGGTAGACACTAACATACTAGAGAATGGTCATTGTCATAATAAAAATCAGAAAGTAGGTAAAAGCGGTCAGGAGTCAAAAAAGAACAAGATAGATTTGAGTCATTGATATTTAAAGGTGAAATCCTGCTGATCTTGAACTATATAGGAATTAAGTGTTTGCCTAATAGTTGAGACAGTAAATAATCAAAATTTGAGTTAAGTGATCCAGAGAACATGGTGAATGTCACTGTGGAGCCATAAATCAGAAAAATCTTAGCATGCTGAGAAACTTAGTTGTAATGCAGTGCCTGGAAGGGCATCATTCCCGTCTGTGATTCCCAGGCAGTCAGATCGGGTATTGCTCTGTTCTCTGGGAGTCTTAGTATTAATTTCCTTTATTTCCCACAAATTCTAAGATTCATGTAAAGAAAAGCATGCCCAGTCAAAATCTTAAAAGGGGTGCTGTTTCAGAACAGTGGTTTTCAGACGCTGCCAAATTCTCAGTTCCACCCCAGACCCACTGAATCGGAAAACTGGGCCTGGGGACCCAGTGATCTTGTGTCTTCGCACGTCCTTCAAAGTGATTCTGATTCATGTTCAAGTTTTGGAAACACTGTTTTAGAGCACTTGAGGAACTTCAAACATTAGAAACACATACAAACAAAAGCCAGAAATAAGCAGTTGAAGGTGAAATGGGATTCACAATTTATACCTTGGGTTTACCCCTTTTAAAGTGTGAGCCTGCCAGTCAATAAATCCTTTAGGTCACAAATAGCCTGATCTTCATAAATCTTGAATAGCCTCCCTAAATTACACTCCTCCAAGGTAAATAGAACTCAGAGGAAGATGCGGTAGGTAGAAGAGAAGGGCTGAAAGTGTGTATGTGTGTGTGTGTGTGTGTGTGTGTGTGTGTGTGTGTGTGTGTGTGTGTGTAATCAGTTGGCCCAACCTTACTTAAGTAATTCATATCTGAAAACCCATTTTGCCACTTTCTGTAACTGTTTGGATAAGGTCAAAATTAAGTTTGCCCTTTTGGGTTTTGTTTCGTCTTCTGTGTATATATTGTTTGCCTTTTTCATAAAATAATTCTTGGATTTGTTATATATTGTTCTTGTTACTTTTGACATTTGCTATTGTTGTAAATAAATTCCTATTTTGTTTTACGTTACCCTAGTGGAGTGTTGGCTATAGACAAAGGCACCTCCATACCCGCCCCCACACCCACGGAAATGAGGAAACTTAAATCACACAATCAATTCCCAACACAGTATAAGCTGGAAGTGATGGGACCCCTTCAGTAGTCCTGTACTTCTAGCACCAATGAAGTTTTCGCTGTTGCACACAGGTGTACCATCTGCACCTGCTCAGACTTTAAAATCACTTACATGACCTCTGAGGTAGAAGTTCTTAGTGTGTTAAGTTTGAGGTACAACTCAAGAATGAGTCTCCTTCACTCGATCTTCCCTATTCACGTTGTTCCATGCCACTTGCACTGCTGGTATCTGCGAACACAAGGGATTTCGCATCATAATGACCTGCCAATATTGTAAAGTCAGCACACTTTGCTACAGAAAACCTACTTAGGAATTGTAAATGGCGTTTGTTCAATCATGATATGAGTTAACCACAGAAATACCTAAATGCATTGGTGAAAATAGTCACCTAGAACTGTATTACTTACAGTATTTTGCTTTCCAAAAGGGGCCAGTTTCTGCTTTTCCTTCCTTCGTACTTGTGTTTGGCTTTAAAAGCAGAACCCATTTCCTTTTGCCTGGGCTTTGAAATAAGGGGAGGTCTTGCAAAGCCATCTGTTGGGGTTTTGGAAGTTCTAATTATACCCTTCCTCTCTGGGTTCTAACCACATTGAAAATAGATGCAAGAAACCACCGGTTGAGTGACTTCATTTAGTAAAGCTGGGTTGGGAAATCCAGAGGCTGACTCTATTCCCGCCCGCACCCTTGTAGTCCTGGACCAGTGCAGCCAGTCACGTGAAAATGTGGGGCCCACCCTCCCCTCTGATCTATAGGGAGATGGCTTGGTTTCCCACCAGAGAAATGGAGCAAGAGGGCGAGGATGGCTGTGACATTCTCCCCAGTGCTCCCAGCCCGGCACTCAGGGAAAGCAGAGAAGAGTTCCCTTACGCCATGCTCATGAACTCATAGGGGTTAGTCTTGTTCTGGGTGGGCCTCTAGCATTAGCCCACTAGCAAAACGTGAGGTGGTTTATCTTTCACCTTGCATATCACATATTCCTTTTCCCTTACTGACTTTCACTGTCCCCTCGGGGTAGTGGTTGTGACAGAATTTCAAAGGTTTAGTTCCTGTTTCTCCCAGGGCAGTATGCTTTCATTTTTCTTCAGAAAAAGAACTTCTCTGACTGCCGTGGCTCAGTGGATTGAGCACCAACCTGCGAATCAAAGGGTCATGAGTTCGATTCCCAGTCAGGGCACATGCCTGGGTTGTGGACCAGGTCCCCGGTTGGGGGCATGTGAGAGGCAACCACACATTGATGTTTCTCACCCTCTCTTCCTCCCTCCCTTTCTCTGAAGATGGATAAATAAAATCTTAAAAAAGAAAAAAAACTTCTACAGGGCAAATTTACTTAACTATACAAACATGGAAATCTTGCAGGTTATTTTTATTGCATGCTTTCATAACAAAAATCTGGAAAAATGATCACCCATGGAGACACTTGCTTTATGAAAGGGCTTGTTCATCTTTGTTCTTTTCCAGTCTCAGCCCATACACATAAATCTTTTATTTGTCTTGTAACCACAGCATTGATGTTATTGTGTCCAGCAACTTTCTTTTCAAACATCCAGTATTTCATACTTGAAAAATAACTAAATAAAATTAATTTAAAAAAAACAGAAAAAAAAACCCATCCAGTATTCCAGTATGTACTGGTTTCCTTAGAATTTTTGAAAAGATTTTATTTATTTTTAGAGAGAGGAAGGGAGGGAGAAAGAGAGGAAGAGAAACATCAGATTCTGACATGCCTCATCTGGGGACTGGCCTGCAACCCAGGCCATATGCCCTGGCTGGGAATCGAACCAGCAACCCTTTGGTTCACAGGCCAGCACTCGATCCACTGAGCCACACCAGCCAGGGCGCCTTAACATTTTTTTAATACACTTTCTTTTTGAGAGGATATGAAAAGTTCACAATGGTACAAAGAAGAAAGTAAAAGGCTTCCTGCCTCCCCAATCCCATTATCCGGAACATTATCATCCTTTTAAAAATGGCTTTAGCGAGTTTTAAATTTATAGATTTTTCAATTGCAAAATACATGTTGTAACAAATGTTGTACAACACAAAATAAGTATAAAGACAAACAGTGATCTCATCCACACACTCCCTCCGAGCTGATTTGCGCGAGGCAATCATAGTTAACAGACTGGGCCTTTCCTCCATGCTCCCACAAACCTGAACAGATACGGAAAGAGAGCAACAGCAGGCTGGAGGCAGGGGAGGGGGGGTTAAATTCTTTTTCTTTTACTAAAATGAGATTATGCACCTTTGCAAGTCACTGAATATATCCATTCCTCTGGGACAGTAGACTGAGCTCCATCTCAATTCTCTTTACTAGCTCAATAACTTTTCAGAGATTGGACCCATAATTTAGTCCCCCATTCCCCTTCTGATGGACATTTAGGTTGTTCTCAGTTTTCTGCCACTGCAGGAATGCTAGAATAACTATCCTTGTGCATATAATCCTTACATATCCGGACTTCAATTTCTGCAACATAGTTTCTCCCAAGATGTGTTTGCCAGGGGAAAGGATATGTGCTATTTTAAAAACGCTACCAGACATTAGCAGATTATTTTTTGTTAGAATGTCAATTCCATGAGTGCAGGAATTTTTTGTATGCTTTGTTCATCGCTGTTCACCTAGAACCCGGTGTGTAGTGGGTGCTGAGGAAATACTAGTTGGAAGTTGAGGTTCCCAGGGTTGTAGTAAATCACACTTCCACAAACAGTCGACAAAGGGGAAAGGCCCGTTCCCCTCAGGCTTACAAACCGTGCGTGTTAGAGCCAGTATCACAGGTAAGAAAACCTCTCTCTCTTTGCCCTCATTGTTTCAATCTGCTTTGACTTTGAGTTAAGTAATGCTTTCATTCGTCTAACAGCCCTTGGACTTCTCTTTGAAGAATCACCTGTTCAAATCCTGTGCCCCATTTTGTCTTTAGAGTCTTGCATACATTTGGCCTGTTAGCTTTCTAATATATTTGCTGCACATTTTTTCTAGTCTATGATTTATCTTGCTATTGTTTAGGTTGCCTTTGATATATAAAAATCTTTAATATTTGTAGAATCAAATATGTATCTTTTCCCCCTCATCTGTGATTCGTGGGTTTTCTTGTTCTACTTAAAAATGTCTTTTCTATCCCAAGGTTCTACAGATATTTGCCTAGATTTCCTTCGGATAATGGCATTGTTTTCATTCGTTTGGATTTTTATACAATTAAAATTCTTTTGTTAATGTTGCTTGGCAGGAGGTCTGGTTTCTTTTTCCTCTTGGATAGAGAGCCAATTATTGCAGTACTGTTTATTAAGTCATCCTGAACCCCCTGAACTGAAATGGTACTTTGTTATGTGTCAGTTCATATATAATCTTGCATTTACTTCTGAAGTCTGTTCTGTTTTACTGATCTATTTGTTATTCTTGTGCTGACATATTGTTTTACTCACAGTGCTCTACAGTGAACTCTAATATCTAGAAGGCAAGTTCTTTTTCTTTTTTTTAAGGTTTTCTTTGCATTTATTGTTCCATAGGAATGTTAAGATCATTTTATCCTGTTTCCCTTAGAAAGACCCATTGGAATTTCTTTTTTTTTAAAGATTTTATTTATTTATTTTTAGAGAGAAGTGAAGGGAGGGAGAAACAGAGGGAGAGAAATATTGATGTGCGAGAGATAGAGCACTTGGTTGCCTCTCTCACACGCCCCCAAACGGGGACCTGGCCCGCAACCCACGCATGTGCCCTGACTGGGAATTGAACTAGTGACCCTTTGCTTTACAGGCTGGCAGTCAATCCATTGAGCCACACCAGCCAGGGCTGACCCATTGGAATTTTTTATTGAAATTGCATGAATTTTAATTTAATTAAATTAATGTATTTATTTTCAGAGAGGGGAAGGGAGAAAGAGAGGGAGACAAACATCAAGGTGTGGTTGCCTCTTGCATGCCCCCAACTGAGGACCTGGCTCACAACCCAGGCATGTGCTATGACTGGGAATCGAACTGGCAATCCTTTGGTTTACAGGCTGGCACTCAATCCACTGAGCCACACCAGCCAGGGCCAATTGCATGAATTTTTAATATTAAATTGAACCTGCCATTTTTAACATATTGTCCTCATATTCATGTTCCTTCATTTATTCTGGTCTTATTTTACATTCTTTAATAAAATGTTTATAGCTTTCTTCATATATAGGCCTTATACTTTTCATAAGTCCGCTATAATTTTTAGCCACGTAGATACTGCTAGAGTATAAAGAAAAGCTATTAGATGTTTATATATTTTTCATGTACCTAGCTACATTTCCACATTATCTTCTCAATTCTAATTGTGCTTTAGTTGTCTTTTGAATTTCTATGTGTGCAGTCATATGGCAAAAAGATGTCTGTTATTTCCTTTTTGTGTATTATGTTATCTAGTACTTCTAAAACAATGCTGAATAATATATATTATAGAAGGCATTTCTGTGTTCCACCTGCTTTTCATGGAAATACTTCAGTAATTAACCACTTAGCGTAATGTTGGTTTTGAAAAGTAGCATTTTCCAAGGTTAGATAGTTTCCTTTCATTGTTATTTTACTTAGAGATTTTATTAGCAATGACTAGTTAATATTATCAAATGTCTTATAGCCACCTATGAATATAATTACTTGGTTTTCTCTTTTTCTTTGTTGATGTAATGAAGAATATTGAATTACAATGCTGGATTTTGTAAAGTTAAACCATATTCATATTTCTAGGATAGAAGTACCCTACTTAGGTAATTTTTATTGTTCCTTCAAAATACTGAGGCCTCAATTGGCTAGTATTTTATTTAGAATTTTTGTATCTATGTTCATAATTCTGGTGTTTTCTTGTTTTGTACTATTGTGATCAGGTTTGAATACCAATGTAATTCTAGCTCCATAAACTAAACTTGGGAACTTTTCTACAATCTAGAATGGTTGAAAAACCAGAGGCATTGTCTGATTTTTCAGGATTAGGCAGAACTCAGTTGTGAAATCATTTGGGTCCGATGCCTCTTCATAAATCGTAGGTCTTTACTTTTCTCATCTCTTCTACATACCTGGTCCATCAACTTTTCTTCCTAAATAAATTTTGGTTTCTACATTTCCCTGGGAAATTGTCCATTTTCTCTAGATCAGTACCCCTCACGTATGAATGTGAAAGTGCTCGTTTAGATTCAGTGGGTCCGGGAAGGCCCTGTGATTCTGCATTTCTTGCAAGCGCCCTGTAGATGCTGATGCTGCTAGTGGTCCAC